CTCTTTACCAGCAAGGATTAAAGTTACTCTAAAACAGAGTAATCAGAAAAAAACCCAGATCAGTTATGAGTTTTTAGCAGCCCCAGAAAGCACTTGATGGTCTTTTAGCTCGTTGGTGGTTTTTAATGAGTATAAATCTCCAGAGATTCTGCCCCCCTGTAAGCTTTGTTGGCTGCACTGAGGTGCCACAAATTCACACAGAATTTGGGTTAAAGAGTCATGGAATCATAGAAATGTGGAATGGTTTGGGTTGGAGGGAACTCGATGATAATTTAATTATTTAATTCCACCTCTGCCATGTGCAGGGACACCTTCCATTGTCCCAGGGTCCTTACTGTTGTTAGCTATTTTCTGTGCTTGGATGTTCGTCTAGGGTTAGATATTTACTGTTACTAGATATTTATCTAGTGTTAGATATTTATTTACCATTAGATATTTATATATTGTTTATTATTGTTAGTTGTTTACTATTGTTAGATACTAATTTGTTATTAAATACCTATTATTAGTAGATATTTAGATTAGAGACTTGACAAGGTAAAGGCTTTGTCAAGCCTCTCAAGGGGGGAAATGATGCCTCAGGTTTGAGCTCTTATATTTTCAGGTTCTGTGCTGCTTTAGTGTGTGGGTCTGGGTTCACATTCTGGGATGGTGAGCTCTGTGCACAGAGCAGGGAGACAAAACAATTCCTGCTCCAGCTGGGCACCAAGGACAAATGATCCAAATCTCAGCCCCAGAGCACAAACCCCGTGGGCTGGAGAGAGAAAAACAAGCAGGGTGGGACTGCAGGGGCTAAAGCTGGAATGGGACAATGAACTGCAAGATGCAAATGGAGCAGAACTGATCCCAGGGACAGAGCCCGTGCCCGGCCGTGCATTTTGGGGCCATTTTGGTTCATCTTGGGTGCAGCCCTGGCTGGGCTCTGGTGCTGCCCAAGGTGCATCCGTGGATGTTGTAGTTGAGATGGAGACAATACAAAGCCACACACTCCATTTTCAGAAGGCTTCCAGCTGTTTTTATTTTAGCATGCATGATTGTTACACATTCTTACAAAGCTCAGAAGTTTACACTTTACTCATTGGTCATGAGATACAAACAAAGTGCTCATTGGAATGGGCAGGTGCAGGTTTCTCAGGTTTCTCTTATTTCTCTTTCTTTCTTGGTTTCTGTGTCAATGACCTTGGTAGGAAATTCTTTCAGGGGTGAACATGGATCAAACTTCTCTCTGGCTCACTGTAAAATCTCTTCCACACATGGAGGCCTTTTAATAAATCCCTACTTTATTGTTTAACTCTGTCCAGTCTCTGTTCTAGGTCAGCCTTCCCAAGGCATCACCCCCATGTCCAGCCTGGCCTCGGGCACTGCCAGGGATGCAGGGGCAGCCCCAGCTGCTCTGGGCACCCTGTGCCAGGGCCTGCCCACCCTGCCAGGAAGGAACCTGAGCCTGGAAAGGGATTTCAAACAACCCTGCCCAAAGCAAAAGGGTTCTCAGCACACAGAAGGGTCTCACCAGGTTTCTGAGCCAACGAAGAGAGCAGAAATGTGCCCGGTGTCAGAGCTGGAGACAAACCCCAGAGGTGGCAGAAAGGGACAGGGATAAGTCATGTGCTGGAGAAACAGCAGACAGGTGTTGGGCTCCAGCCTTGCACAGAAATCTCCCAAAACAAACAAGTAAAAGCAGCTTTTGTGGGGACAGAAAGCACAGCTGGGCCACCACAAACCTGGCAGCACGTCAGAGCACAGGGCCAGCACCACACAGGAAGGATGAGCATTAAAAATAATAATAATAATAATTTTAAAAAATTAATTACTGCTTTCATTTTGTGTGTGCTGATCCATGACACACTGGGAGGTTTAATAAACTGAGTTGAGTTCTGCTCATATAGAACTCAATCTTCCAAAGGGTTGATGAAAACTTGCCAAGACAAAGAGCATAAATCGGTGTATACTGAATTTTAACACAAGTATTTCCCACCAGACTTCCCAATGGCTTTTCCAGTAGTTTTTCCTAGAGAAACAGCATCACCTTCAGGCCAGAAAAAGACACATTCCAGTTTTTCTAGTTGGGAAAACTTAAAGAAACACTTCTCAAAATCTTGCATATTTTTATTTCTTTCTGAGCCAAGATTGCAAAACATGAACATGCAAAAAAAGAAAAATAAATAGGACACAAATTTTGTACATAAATTTAAAAAAATTAGAGGGAAGGAGCAGTCCCTCCTAGTTTGGAAAGCACTGAAGTTTCAGAAGAGCCCACACAGAAAAAATCAAGACAGCAAAAATATAAATATGTCATTTTTTTTATTCTCCATTTCTTTGAAAAGGGCCACTTTTACCAACTACTGTGGCAATTATTCTGCAAGCTGAAATCCCCAGTGAGAACAACACAGACAAAAGGCCCGTGTGGTAGAGGAGCAGGAGAAAACAGGATGTTTCAGGCTGTGCAAAAAGAGGTTCTCAGCAGAAATCAGATGTCTGCTCCAAAGTCAGACATCAGACACTAAACCACAGAAGGAAATGTTTGTGCCATTGCCCCTCAGAAAGAGCAAACCCTCTCTGCTGAGAGCAAAGGGGAGGCTCCCTGCTCATGGCATGGGATGAGGTGAGCTTTAGGCTCCCTCCCAGCCAAACCCATTCCACAATTCTGGGTTTTAAATCAGACTGGATTCACTGTGCCAGGGAAATCACAGTGAACTCTCCAGGCTGTTTTCTCTAATTTTGTTTTGCAACTGAGAAGCAGAGGGTGCAGCAAGCAGGAAATTCAGCATCTCAGCTGTTTCCCCAACAGCTCCTGCCCTGCCCAGGCAGCTCTGCAGGGCACTGCCATGGCCTGAGCTCTCCTCACCCAGCCTGGCAGGGAGGGAACAGCCCTGGGAGGGACAGCACAGCCTGGGCTGGGGATACACCCTGGGGTGCTCTGGGAGGAATGAGCCCTGAAGGGGCTCCAGGAGAGCTGGACAGGGACTGGGGACAAGGCCTGCAGGGACAGGACCCTGGAATGGCTGCCAGTGCCAGAGGGCAGGAATGGGTGGGAGATTGGGAATCAGGAATGTGGGAAGCTTTAAAATTAGACGGTTTTGGGAAAGCTGTAAAAGGTAGGATTGAAAGACAGTAGAACTGGGATTAGGAGTTCTGCTCCACCCTGGGAGGGTGGGCAGGGCCTGGCACAGGGTGGACAATGAATCAGAGAACCCCAGAATATCCTGAGCTGGAGGGACCCCCAGGGATCCCCCAGTGCCAGCCCTGCCCTGCCCAGAGCCCAGCAAGCCCAGCCTGGGCATCCCTGGCAGCGCTGGCCAAAGGCTCCTGGAGCTGTGGCAGCCTCGGGGCCGTGCCCATTCCCTGGGCAGCCTGGGCAGTGCCAGCACCCTCTGGGCAAGAACCTTGCCCTGCTCTGCAGCCTGAGCTGGCCTGGCCCAGCCCCAGGCGCTCCCTGGTGCTGTCCCTGTCCCAGAGCAGAGCTCGGAGCTGTCCCTGCGCTGCCCCTCGGGAGGAGCTGCAGCCCCGGGGAGCTCTGAGCTCAGGCTGCTCCAGCCTGGGCTGCCCAGGGCACCTCGGGGGGCCCCTCCTGACCCTTCCCCAGCCTTGTGTCCCTCCTCTGGACCCGTTCCAACAGCTTCTGATCTTTCATTGACACAGCCAGCACTGTCCCCAGCACTGGGGGTGAGGCTGCCCCAGCCCGGAGCAGAGTGGGACAATCCCTTCTGTGAAAAATGCCTATTTTATGATTGGCTATTGGCAAATATTAAAATTAATATTATCTGTGTTATGTTAGAAAGTTATGCTGTATTAATTCTCTTAAGTAGTGTGTTAAATATAGTTTTAGGTTATAACAAAATGTTAAAATAGAAACTATGCTATGTAAGATACTTTTTAAAGAAAGGACTCACACCAGATAGCAGCCACAGGACACCTGAATCTTTCAGAGAAAGAGAATTTATTGCTCCATTATCAGGAGAAATGAACTTCTTCCTGCCTCACTCAGCCATGATGACACCGTCAGGGTTCAGAGGAAGCAGCTGACACTGCCCAGCCAGAATCCTGTGTTTGAATGGAATTTATGCATCATGGATGAGGTGTAGGAATATGCAACAGGCTGTTGCTTTTTAGGGTTAATCCTCTGTTAACGTGGGGCCTTTTTCGGGCTTATGCTGCCCAGAAAAGGTACCTGGACTGTCTGTAACTCTTTCATATTGTCTCATATTGTCCTAATCCAAATTGTCCAAATTATTATTACTCTAATTTTATTACTATTTTTATAACCATTTTATTACTATTAAACTTTTAACATTTTAAAAACAAGTGATTGGCGTTTTTCACAGCTTCAGAGGGAAGTGAAGGTGATGGTGTCCCCAGGACGGGGCTGTCCCTCCTGGCTGCAGGGCACGGCTGACTCAGATCCCGCTGCCCACGCACCAGGACCCGCAGGGCCCTTCCCTTCCCATGGCACCGCAGGAACTGCGGCTGCCCCTGCATCCCTGGCAGTGCCCAAGGCCAGGTTGGACACTGGGGACAGAGGGAGGTGTCCCTGCCATGGCAGGGGTGGCACTGGGTGGGATTCAGGGTCCCTCCCAACCCAAACCTGCTGCGACTCTGACTCTGTAAAGGCGGCAGGGGATCAGCCACCGCTCCCGCAGCTTTCTCGCTCAGCGAACTCCGCAGAGCCGGGGGTGGAGCGGGCCCGGACGGGTAACAGGAACGGAAATAAAGGGAGGAACGGAAATAATTGCAGGAACGGAAATAAAGGCAGAAACCGAACTAAAGGCAGCAAAAGCCTTTCGGCGAGTATGGGGAGAGAGTGGCGCCCTCAGGGAGCGCCGCCCTAGCGCCGCCGGGCGGGGCCTGAGGGGGAAGGGGCGGGGCTTGCTCGATGAAGGCGTGGTTAGTGATTGTTTGGGGCGTGGTTTGCCTGCATGAGGCCGTGGTCCAGTTTGTTATGGGCGTGGTCTCTATGGGGGCGTGGCTAACACCGCGCCATCCCCGCCGCCATTTTCTGGTTGGCTGTGGGGTGGGTGGCAGCGCCGGGATCGATGGGGGTCGGTCGCATTGATAAGGGACGATAGACGCGGTCAGCAGCGATGAGGAGTCGGAGCGGAGCCCCTGGGGATTCCCTACCGCGAGGTACGGCTGGCAGGTGGCGATGTGTGCGGTGCCGTGTCCCCCCGCTGCCCCCGGGCGCCGCCCTACGATGCCAATGGAGCGGTTCCCTGAGGGGAGCGGGCCGCGCTGCTTCCCCCGGCTGAGGGGAGCGGTCTGGGCCGCTGCTCCGGCATTCCCGGGAGCGCTCTGCTGGAGCCGTGTGGGGCCCGGGCCCGTGTGGAGCCCCCAGAACCGCACACGGAGTCCCAAAACCACGCCGGGTTCGCCCTTGGCAGCGTCCCGCTCGCTGCATTGGCCGCGGCGATGGCCCGGGAGGTGCCTGGGGTCGTTTGGTGTGGGGATCGCACCAAGGGCTGATGGTTGGGAGGAACAGCGACTGCCGAGGGCTCTCGCAGCGCCCCTTGTCTCAGACGTGGTTTGCTGGGGCATCCCCGAGGGTCCCCGTGTGTCCCTCGGGCAGATCCCGAATCCCTGGTGCTGGCCCAGCCCTGCCAGCCCCTGCAGCGCCAGCTGTGCCCTATGGGCACCTTGTCCCCAGCCCAGAGCACTCAGTGCCACCTGCAGGGGACACCTGCAGGGCTGGGCACTGCAAAGCTCCCTGGGCAGCCCCTGCCAAGGCCTGAGCTCCCTTGCCATGGGCAAATTGCTGCTGCTGTCCAAGCTGAGCCTGCCCTGGCCCAGCCTGAGGCTGTCTCCTCCTGTCCCAGCACTGTGTCAGCCCATAGGATAAGGGCTGTTGGTAATGGCCTTGGGTTATGGAGGTTAAGTGATTTCTGTGTCCTTAGAAGTGGTCTATCCAAAGTCTCCCAGCACTCGAGGGTGGGAATAATGCTACAGACACAGTGTGGTTCCCTGGCTCGGGTGGATTCAGGATTTTATAGAGCTCCAGGGGTGTCAGGATGGTGCCAGCCTCTGCTCAGTGGTGCCAGTGGCAGGACAAGGAGCAATGCCAGGAACTAAAACACAACAATTCCAGCCCAGCCTGAGGAAGAACTTCCTTCCCTGGAGGGGCAGAGCCCTGGAACAGCTGCCCAGGGAGGGGCTGGAGTCTCCCTCTCTGGAGACATCCCAAAGCCCCTGGGCAGCTCCTGTGTCCCTGCTGCAGTGACCCTGCCTGGGCAGGGCAGGGCTGGGTGCTCTCCGAGGTCCCTGTGCAGGCTCAGAATGTTCCTCTGCAGACTCCCCTGCTGTCAGTCAGCCTCCCTGCCTCTCTCAGTGTTCCCCTGAGCTGATTTCTGTAAGTAAACAGACCATCTGCTTCTTTCAGAGAACTGGGGGAGAGCTTTTCTGAAATATGAGCCACTGACTTGCAAGACCTCAAAGCTGCTTTTTTTTCTTCTTTTCTGATTGGAAGCAAATATAACCCCATCCAGCCTGAACCTGAGAGCCACTAAACTGGTCCCAGGGCTGCAGCCAGGCTGAGAGAGCTGGGGGTGCTCACCTGGAGAGGAGCAGCTGCAGGGAGAGCTGAGAGCCCCTGGCAGGGCCTGAAGGGGCTCCAGGAGAGCTGCAGAGGGACTGGGGACAAGGCCTGCAGGGACAGCACCCAGGGAATGGCTGCCAGTGCCAGAGGGCAGGGCTGGGTGGGATCTTGGCAATGAGGAATTGTTCCCTGGCAGGGTGGGCAGGCCCTGGCACAGGGTGCCCAGAGCAGCTGGGGCTGCCCCTGCATCCCTGGCAGTGCCCAAGGCCAGGCTGGGCACTGGGGACACTGGGAGGTGTCCCTGCCATGGCAGGGGTGGCACTGGGTGGATTTGGGGTCCCCCCCAGGCAGTGTGGGAAGCCATGGGCTCCAGCTGTGGGTGCTGTGCCAGTGTCCCCTGTGCCATGGGAGCCCTGGGGCTCCAGGCAGCTCCCAGGCATTTCCTGAGGGCCCAGCCCGGCCTCAGGGGCTGCACTCACTGCTCTCTGCATGGCTTCTCCACAGGGATTGCTGCTGCTCTGAAGAGGAGGAGTTACAAAAGCTCACCAGAGTTCTGACAGAAATGGTTTTGCCCTGAATCTCCCTGGCAGTGGTGGATCTGCAGAGGACATCTAGCCTTAGCTGTGGGAGCCTGGACATGAGCACCTTTTGTCTCATTTTCTCAGGCAGTGGAAGGTGCTGAACCAGTAACTGGCTCTGAGTGTGCCTCATGTGGGAGCCTCCTTTGCTCAGCAGCCAGAGGCAGCCTGGAGCCTGGTGTGATTCCCAGGGGGGGATTATTCCCAGTGTTATCCCTGCAGCATGGCCAGCCAGGATCCCAGGTACACACAGCACATCCCCGTGGGCAGGGACTGCTTCAGACAGGGCCTGGCTGAGCTGCAGGGCTGATCAGGGACAGGAAGTCATTTACCAAGTGAATCCAGCATGCCCAAGGCTTTCTCCTGAAGGGAACTCTGAACAGCCTGGACAGTCCCTGCCTGCAGGTGCAGCTGCTCTTTGGAATGGCTTCTCTTGAATGAATGAACAGAGTGAGGGCAAGAGAGCATTCCCTGAGGCTGTGGGACTGTCACTTGCACAGATCCAAGTTCCTAACACTTACCCTGTGGCTTCCTGCACTCTGAGCACAGGGACATTGACTTCTCGGATAAAGGGGTTTATTCACCTGACTTTAACAGATGACCTCTATCCTGTGTTAATATATGAGTGTACAGGGTTATACATTAATATATTCGTATACAGAGTGTGCTCTGGCATGATTTTAAACTGGTTGTTTTGCAGAAAAATAATTCCAGTTGTATTTGCAAATAATGGTAAATTAAAAAGCAGTTAGTTTTTGTTAAAGCTGGGGGGGAGATTCTTTAGAAATGGATGCACCTTTGCCCAGCTAACTCAAAACCAGGTCCTGTGGATATTAATATTAGGAGGATGTTAAATAGAGTAAAATATAACAGTGAAGAAAATAATTATTTTAATAGGTCTTATGCATTAAAAAATTATAACAAACTTCATAACTTCTTTGTAATGAATTTTTTTCTAAGTGCTCTGTTGATCTTTTCCCTTTTTGGTAACAAGTACTACAATGGTGATGAGTTTATTCCAAACAAAGCCAAGCAAAGTTTATTTTCATTGCATTAATGAAGTTGGAGTGAGTGGCATTGAGTTTTCAGATCCTATCTAAATGCAAAGTTAGTATAAATAATTATACGGTGGCTTTTGCCTCATTTGAAGTGGTGGGAGCCCATTCCATGGGAAAAGGGAAGTGCTGTTGCCATGGAAATGGACCAAAATTGCCATAAAATGATAAAGATCAGTGCTCCCCCCAGTAACTCTTTCAGTACCACTGTCCTCCCTCAGACAATGGAGAGGGTAAAACAATTCTGTACAGAAACCTTGGGTTAGTTAAAAGTGATTTACTAAGGCAATTTACTGTGATCATTTAGTAAAATGTGCTTGTTTTTCATGTATTTGTAGGAGCAGAAGCAAAATGTTCCTTTTGCAAGCAGAGAGGTTTGTTTGTTAATGTCCATGAGAGCCCCAATGGATGTGCCAATGCCTCTCTGTCAGCTTGGTAAGTACCTGAACCTTTGGGGTAGAGAGCAGCACTGCAGGGAGCTCATGAATTCATTAATAATCCTGCTGAGTTAATCCAGTAAGAGACTATCATGGTATTGGCAGCCTCTCTGGGGAGTAATTCCCAGAGTAGGGATCTGTGGTGTTAGCCCTGCATGCTCCATTCTGTGCACAAACCATGAGCAGGGGCTGGGGCCAGGCTGGGAGAGCTGGGATTGTCCAGCCTGGAGAGGAGCAGCTGCAGGGAGAGCTCAGAGCCCCTGGCAGGGCCTGCAGGGGCTCCAGGAGAGCTGCAGAGGGACTGGGGACAAGGCCTGCAGGGACAGCACCCAGGGAATGGCTGCCAGTGCCAGAGGGCAGGGCTGGATGGGATCTTGGCAATGAGGAATTGTTCCCTGGCAGGGTGGGCAGGCCCTGGCCCAGGGTGCCCAGAGCAGCTGGGGCTGCCCCTGCATCCCTGGCAGTGCCCAAGGCCAGGCTGGGCACTGGGGACAGTGGGAGGTGTCCCTGCCATGGCAGGGGTGGCACTGGGTGGGATTTAGGGTCACTCCCAACCCAGACTTTCTGGGATTCATGCCTGATTCCTCTGTGCCTGAACTGGTGACTCTGGCCCCAGAGTGGGCTCTAAGGTCCCTTCAGGGCCATTCCATTCCATCATTCTGCCTCCCTACACATCCAGGAACTCTCAGTTACATGTGAGGGTTTTTATTTTTTATTCTGAGTTTTTCTGGCACTCCTCATTTTCTGGATTAGCAGGTGAAACAAGATCAGTTTGCCTGAACTGTACTTGTTGTGAGAAGGGGATTTGTTATGATCCTTTAATTCTGTGAAATGGGTCAGATCATCATCCCAGAACCCCATACTGGTTTGGGTTGGGAGGGACCTCAGACCCACCCAGTGCCACCCGTGCCATGGCAGGGACACCTCCCCCTGTCCCAGGTGCTCCCAGCCCAGTGTCCAGCCTGGCCTTGGCACTGCCAGGGTGGTGGAAACTCTAAGATGCTGCAGAAGATTCCCCATGCAGGTTCCAGCCCATCCCTATGTCCCCAGGCTGAATGTTCCCAGTTGTTCTCAGGTATTTGTCCTGGCTGTGTCTCCTTTGTAAGAGTGTAACACAAACAGTTTTGCAACTGTTCAACTTCCTTTGCTAAACTTGTTTGTTGAAACAAAGTTCAGAGGCGGTTTGAGCTCTGAACTGAAAGGAATTTGGTTTGGGTAGAGAAGAGGCATTGAAAAATCAAACAGTGCTAACTGGAATGCAGCAGCAATTCAGCAGACACAATTTATTACAAATCTGAGCTTGTGTTCAGATAATAATAATAATAATAATTGTTAAAATATTGATTTATTTATCCCCACTGGATGTTTCTTTCCAAATGGTTGATTTCCTGGCTGGTAAGAAATCCCTTGTTCTACATTTAGCTGCAGTTAAACCCTTTATTTGTGGATCTCCATAAAGATTGTTTAAATTCTCTAATTCAATGCCCAGATTTCTCTTCTCTTTTCATAGTCATGCTGACTGTGGCACATCTTTTTAACACAACAGGTCAAGACAAAAGTGAGTTTTGGGGAAGATAAGAAAGGAACTGTCCAGATTTTCCCATGGAATTAATGTAAAACAGAGAAGAAATGTGTTTGGAATTAAAGCAGTGACTGCTTTGGCCAACTGGGCGTGGGAGTCAGCATCTCCTGAGTCAGAGGCATGACCACAAAAATGCTTTAAAACAAGAACAGGAAGTTTCTCTTTGTTGCACTCAAAGCAGAAGGGAGGCTGAAGGATCTTGAGGAAAAAAAATATTAGAGGAGTCAGAACAAAAATTTCACATGTTTTGAAGCACTGTGTTGAAAGGATGGGAGCAATGGGTTGGTCAAGGAAAAGAATCTTGGATGCAGTGAGAGCCAGGGTGGATCACAGCCTCCTGGGGAGGTTCTCCAGCAGGATGGAGGAACCTCTGGAATGGCAGGATTGCCCAGGGAAGCTGGGGCTGCCCCTGCATCCCTGGCAGTGCCCAAGGCCAGGCTGGGCACTGGGGACACTGGGAGGTGTCCCTGCCATGGCAGGGGTGGCACTGGGTGTTCTTTAAGGTCCCTTCCAACCCAAACCCTGCTGGGATCTATGAGGCTGAGTCAAGCAACAATGGAATATTTTCCCAGATCAGCTCTAAAATTCTTGGGATGGCTTGAAAAAGTGTTTGAAATGGAGTCAGAGGCCTCTGAGGCCTGATTGGATGAGAACATCTTGGGTGGGTTTGCTGGCACTGAACCCTGAACCTCGCAGGGAGGGATGCAGGAACCAGCTCCTCCTCGGAGCCCCAGGTTCATGGACACTTCTCCCAGGCTCTGGAGGAGGAGGGATGTCTAGGAAGGTCTAGGAAGGTGTGAAAGAAAGTAACACTTCCACCAGGGAGTGCTGGGGATGGACCCAATTGTTGCAAATGAGTACTTGCAATAAAAGTCAGGTCCTGTGGATACACCAGGGCATTAATACAGAGTTTCACTTTCCAGTGTGCCTCACCTTTCTGTCTGCAGCTGTTTGCAGCCTGCCTGGTAAGAGTGTTACCATTTCTAAAATGCTTTTCCTAACACATTTCATAGCTTGCACATCCTCACCAGTCATTGTTTTGGAACTTCATGCTTTTTGGAGAAAGAACTTAGAGAAATGCAATCCATGTGCACAATGCTTTGCATTGCTGTGTCTCTTGTGCTGTTGTGCTGCTGAGCTCTCCCCTGTGGCTGCTTTTTGGGGCAAATCCTGAGCTGCTCTAAATGGGTGTATTTATTAGAATGGTTGCAAAGCAAAGCTCAGAATTCTTTGGGTTTGTTTTTTTGTTGGTTTTTTTTTTTTTTTTTTTTGTTATTTTTTCCTTTCTAGAAAGAAAGGGGCTTCCTTACAACCTCCGGATGAACTCCCACAATTTCCAGCACATTTTGTCCTGGCAGGCAGAACATGACCCAGCTGTTCCAGCATCCTACAACGTGATCTACAAAGGCCACAGGCAAGTCACTCAAAATAAGGCAGAAATTCTGCTTGTAATGTTTATTGACCCAAAGAGGAGGGAGCTTTGCAGTGCCCAGCCCTGCAGGTGTCCCCTGCAGGTGGCACTGAGTGCTCTGGGCTGGGGACAAGGTGCCCATGGGGCACAGCTGGCACTGCATGGGCTGGCAGGGCTGGGCCAGCACCAGGGATTCTCTGAAATTAGTAAGGCTGAGGTTTTCTCTGTTTTTCTTGGTTTTTTTCTTAGCTTTTCTGAGTTTTTTTTTTCCCTTGAGATGCTCTCCTCACACTCCCATGCCTTCTCACATCAGAGAAGTAAGAGTCTTGCTCTTCCCTGCAGGAGCCAGGACTGGATGAGTGCTCAGCAGTGTTCAGGCATTGCCCAGCTCTCCTGTGAGCTGACAGAGGAGTTCAAGGACATATCTGCTGAGTATTTTGTATTTGTTCAGAGCATTGGAGGAGCTCAGGTGCTCAATTCTTCTCTGCTGCATTTTGCACCAATCTTTGGCAGTAAGTTCTGTCTCTGCATTTCTTCTTCTTGTAGTTTTCATTAAAGGCTGATCCTGAATTGTGTTCTGTTACCTTTGCTGTAAGACTCCACACTGACTGTGTTGGTGTCTATTTGTATATAGTACTTCATGTATGTGTAGTCCTGATTTGTAGTTCTGATAAAGGAATGAGGCTCTGGTTTTGAAATAAACACATTATAATCATAAAGGAAATACTGCTGTGCATTGACAAACACCAAGTAAAAATCTCTTGACTGTGTTAGGTACATAATTTAAAGAAGAACATTGTATTTGTGTGTTCAGGTAGTGAATGCTGAGATAAAAAGTGCCAGGTCTGCACCAGGTGTAGGGAAGAGATTGATGGACAAACAATCCATCTGCCCTTTTCCCTGCTGAAGGTACTTGTCTCTATTGCCAGAGGTGGTTTCACCCCTGGCTCTGCTTAAAATGGAGTTTTGAGCTCACAGAGCTAAGAGATATTGAGGAGCAGCTGGAGAGCTGTGCAGGATGAGCTGATGGTGTTTGCTCTGAGCTCAGCAGAGGCAGCTGCTGTGTCCCCTTCCAGGGTCAGCAGTGAGGGAACCCTGTAGGGAATGGGGACAATGGGACAAGGAGAACACCCTGAGGAGGAGCCCTGCAGTCCCTGCAGTTGGTTTCATAAAAAGGGCAGGACAAGGGGGAATGGCTTTCAGCTGAAGGAAGGCAGGGTTAAATGGATATTGGGAATTAGGAATTGTTCCCTGGGAGGCTGGGCAGGGGCTGGGATGGAATTCCCAGAGCAGCTGGGGCTGCCCCTGCATCCCTGGCAGTGCCCAAGGCCAGGCTGGACACTGGGGCTGGGAGCACCTGGGACAGGGGGAGGTGTCCCTGCCATGGCAGGGGTGGCCCTGGGTGGGCTCTGAGGTTCTTCCCAACCCAACCCATTCCAGGATTCTTTTCTGTACTTTAACCTCAGCTTTAACCTCATGTAGATACCAAGATCACATCTCTGTGAAGCTGGAGTAAAGCCTCTATTCCCTTTCTGCCTCTTCTTTCCACTCCTTTTCCTTTAAAGTCTGGCTGTGGGAAATGATGGCTTGGCTGTGGAAGTTAAATGTTGCAAGGCCTTTTGGATTTACAGCAGGGCCCCCTCTGGAGTGTGTTGAGCCAGCCCTGTGTGCATCACAGAAATGGAATTGGCACTGGATAAAGTAGAACTGTATTTTTTTCTATCATTTTCCCTCTTTCTTCTTTTCCAACAGCAATTCTGGGACCACCTGAAGTGAATATCACTTCCTGTCCAAACTGCCTCAACGTCACCCTAAAGCTGCCAGCCTCTCACCTCAGAGACAATGGGAAGCTGCTGTCTTTAATTGATATCTACAAAGAGCTGGATTATGATATCACTCTGAAATCACAGGATGGACACTATGAGGTAGGGAAATTTGGGAATAGTTGTGCTTTAGGGGAGGAACACAGAGGGCATGAAATGGCTCTGATGGTTACCAGGCTCCCAAAAACAAATATGTGGATAGAAGCAAAAGAAAACATAGAAATAGATTTCTTAGAAGAAAAGAGAGAGACCATGGCCAGCAGAATCTGAGCTTCCTTTCCCTGCAGGGCCAGGTCTGAGGGAGTGAGCAGGGGCTCTTTCAGCCAATCACTGACTTCAATCCATTGTTTTTCACGGCAGAGGGCACGGCAGAGAACCACTGAAGAGGTGCTCAGTGTTGTCATTGAGGAGTTGTATCCCAGCAGGAATTACTGCCTGTCCGTGGAGGTCACTGCATCCCTGAACAAGAATTCTGTCCCCTCCCCCTGGAAATGTGTCACTGTAGACTCAGAGGCTCAGCAAGGTAATGGAGCTGTGGGCAGGGGGGTGCTCTGGGTGTGCAGTGCGTTCTTTTGGTGTAGGGACATTTACAGTTCAGTCCTGAACAACAACTGATCACAGAGTCATGGAATGGCCTGAGGGAAGGGACCCCAGGGATCCCCCAGTGCCAGCCCTGCCCTGCCCAGAGCCCAGCAAGCCCAGCCTGGGCATCCCTGGCAGCGCTGGCCAAAGGCTCCTGGAGCTGTGGCAGCCTCGGGGCCGTGCCCATTCCCTGGGCAGCCTGGGCAGTGCCAGCACCCTCTGGGCAACAACCTTGCCCTGACATCCAACCTAAATCCCTCCTGGCCCAGCTCCAGCCCCTCCCTGGGTGCTGTCCCTCAGGGCCTCACTGGCAGAGAGAAACATTCCAAGAGAGAGCCATTGTGGGTATTTAGGAGTGAAATATAAAACCCCAGCACTTAAAGGGCAATCTCTTGGCAATCTCCTGAGCCATACAGATCTCCACTAGCTCTGCAGAAAGATGGAGTCACTTCTTTTGTAATTCCTGAAGCTAATTTGAGATTTGGTCTTGTTCTGGCTTTGACTTTGACTTTCAGAGATCCCTTCTAACCAAAATTATTGGGGATTCCTGATAGCTGTTGTGACTGGGAGATCTGGAATGTGATGCTGGGACACTTCCTCCATGTGTGTTTATTTGATTTTTTCACTCCAGGGTACTATGAAGCTGCAGTGGCAGGTGCTGTCTGTGTCTCACTGATCATTGCTGCAGTCCTGAAGTGTGTGCATGCAGCAGGCTTTATTTTCCCAAAGTTCTCCCTTCCTCAGACCTTGGTATGTAACAGCTCTCAGATCTGCCCTCTCTGGCTGGCAGCAGGAGGTTTAACAGCTGGGGTTTCCAGTCCTGTTCTTCAGGTACAAGTTCTGTAAGAGCACAGAATGTTTGCATTTGTAGTTTACCTCAGTCAAAGATGCTCTCTAGGCTGCTAAGTTTTGTGTGATCTTCAGAACAAATATTCAAAACCATTTCTTGCTATTTCTGTGACAAGTTACTTGCAGAGAGGATCATCCCACCCTGTTCAGGGGAGCATCCAGGAATATTCCACCCAGTTCTGGTCCCCACAGGGCACGAAAGGTGTGGCCCGGAGCAGGGCCAGGGGCTGAGCAGAGGGCTGGAGAAGCTGCCCTGTGAGGAGAGACTGGAGGAGAAGTTGTTCCACTGTTTCATAATAATAAAATAATCTCTCTTGGACTTGCTTTGTGATCAAGCATGGAGGGAGCCAGTCCAGAGCCAGCTAGTTTTTTATTTCCATAGATTGAAATTTAGTGGCACAATTATTTGTGAATGAAATTATCCATTTAAATTCAATCACAAATAACGAGATTTCTTGTTTCTATCTTTTATCTTTTCTTGCTTGTTCTATTTTTTACAGTCTCTGACTTCTTTTACATTTAATTCTGTAAGGTTTTTCAGCATAAATATTTTCCATTTTCTACCAACATACCCAGAGCAGATGGGTGTCACTTTTTTCTAAGGCTTCTTCCACATGTTTCTGTCTTTTGCTGTGTCACTTTCACATCCCAACAATTGCTGAACACATTACTAAGGAATATCTAAGGTTTATTTATTTTTTATTGTCAACTTGATGAATGCTTCAAATATTGAATAATCCTCTGAAGTGCAGAGGGAAGACAAGACTTGGGATGTTAAAATGGTGAAAATTGCTTCAAAAGATAATTTCTAAAGGATGTTAAAATTGCTCAGCTGTGATAGAGGTGACTGCAAGAGTTGGGAGAGTGACAAGACTCAGCTCACCCTGGCAGGGTGGCACAGGGTGCCCAGAGCAGCTGGGGCTGCCCCTGCATCCCTGGCAGAGCCCAAGGCCAGGTTGGACACTGGGGACAGTGGGAGGTGTGCCTGCCATGGCAGGGGATTGGAATGGGATGATTTTTTAAGATCCCTTCTCACTCAAACCTTTCAAGGGTTCTGTGATGTTCAGGAATGGAAAAAAAGGAACAATTGTATTTGTCCTGGTTTAGGGCAAATTTGGGAGATAAAAGCATCATATAGTCAGCCTAGGATACCTAGATACCCTGAACTCTGCAGAAAAAGCCCAAACTGTGGCACAGAAGGAATCATTTGTTTGACAGCCTCTTGGCTGGAGGTTGTTTGGGGCTTTTTTCATGGTGTTGTGTGCATATGTGCAAAAGTGGCTGATTATTTAATTGCTTTTACTCTTCCAGGCGTGCATCAGGAAGTTGGCCTACTCCCCGTGGGTGTCAGTGTCAGAAACAGTGGCCTCAGTGGAGATCATCCCCAGAGAGGTGAAGAGCAAGGCCAGGGGCTGCAGGGGCAGCGACAGTGATGACAGTGACAGCAGCGACAGTGACAGTGACAGCAGTGCCCTGTGTGACCACAACTACACCAGGCGGGGCAGGCTGGGCAGGGGCAGTGTCCCCCAGGTGTGTGACAGCCCCAGCAGCCCAGAGCAGTACTCAGTGAGCAGCACCTGTGAGCACAGCAGCAGCCAGGCTGGGGCCACGCCAGCTGCTGAGCCACAGGAGCCCCAGGGCCACCCTGCAGGGCACAGGGACACGAGGAGCGAGTTGCTGAGCCCTCTGTGTGGGGACAGCAGCGAGCCCCAGGGGGGCAGTGGGTGCTTCACCATCAGCCTGAGCACGGTGCTGCTGGGCACCCTGGAGCAGGATGGGCACAGCCCTGCCGCTGCCTCCCCAGCCCACGAGGATGCAGGGGACTGGCACTGTGCTCATGGTGGGCAGGCAAAGCTGCTGCAGGACACGGGAAGTGGGCACGGAGCACCTTGTTCTAACAACTTCCACCAGTGGCAAAACTCCTCCTCTTCCTCTGAGGAAAGCGACTCCTTGGACTCAGACACAGAGCAAGTAACGGGCTACATGAGGAGATGAAGAAGGGAGAACTGCTTTTACTTTATAACATAGGAACCAGTGCTGTCCAACTCTTATTTCTGGACTGAACACTCAGATCTTGTCCTTTCATTAACATCCTGTGAGCGTGGGCTCCTACAGAAAGAGCTGGGGGTGTTTGTCTGGAGAAGGATCCACAGAGACCTTCGAGCTCCTTCTGTGCCCAAAGGGGCTCCAGAGGTGGGGCTTGGAACAGGCCATGGAGGGACAGGACAAGAGGGAATGGCTTCAAACTCACAGAGGGCAGTTTTGGATTAGAAATTGTTCCCTGTGAGGGTGGGGAGAGACAACTTCCAGGGGATGGAGGGACAGGAGCCAGGGAATGGCTGCCAGTGCCAGAGGGCAGGGCTGGATGGGATCTTGGCAATGAGGAATTGTTCCCTGGCAGGGTGGGCAGGCCCTGGCCCAGGGTGCCCAGAGCAGCTGGGGCTGCCCCTGCATCCCTGGCAGTGCCCAAGGCCAGGCTGGACACTGGGGCTGGGAGCACCTGGGACAGTGGAAGGCTGGTCTCCCAAACCAACCACTTGTACAATTTTTTTATTCTTTATCTCTGTCACTCTTTCACTTTGTGGAACCTGTTCTGCTGGCTGGATAGTGTATTTGTGTAGAGAGCACTGATCAAGTGGAATAATGAGGGCAGAGACAGGAACACTCAGCTGACAAAAGAGTGGATCGAGGCATTAATACACTTCTTGAATTTATTTTTGTATAAATTTTGTACAATTACTGATTCATATTAAAATATTTTTTATGACATTTAAAACCTAAATGAGCAATTTAAAATTGGTGTGAGCAGCCCTGGTTGGTGAGGGGAAACAGACCCGGTGTGTGAGGGATGTTAGGAAAATTAATCCACAAACATCAGAGGTTTATGTCCAAACAGGAGCCAGAGGAGTCCTTTTACTTTATTCCAATAAAGGGAGAGGCCATGGGCCATTCCCCTGGGATCTCTCAGTGATTTTGGAGGACGCAGCTTCCTTTTTATCCCAATTTCCCAGCTGCATTTCCCTTCTCTCTTTCCCCATTGGCTGAGGCACTTGAGAGGTTCAGACTTCCCAAAACACCTGATACCAGAGATTCCCCTCTAATGTATAACCCTCCCTTTTCATTTTGAATTCTTATGGAATTTAGGGGTTTTTCTTCCCCGTTGTTTCTTTCATCTTTCAGCGTCTAATTTCATTTATCAGCAAACCTTTGTTTGTAAAAGCAAATCTCTTTTTCCATTCATCATGCAGTGGAATCCTTCCCATGGTTTCTTTTATCTCCCAGTGCTGGTTTTATCTACCAGCAGACCCAGAGCTGCTTTGTAAAGACAAATCTGCCATTCCTCTCAGGGGGAGGCCTCAGGCCCGGGGCCGCCGCTGTGCCCACAGTTCTGGCCCGCCCTGTGGGGAAGCGGAAGGTTCGGGGTGCCGGCGCTCCGGGTGCCCGCCCTGCCCTGTGGGGAAGCGGAAGGTTCGGGGTGCCGGGGCTCCGGGTGCCCGCCCTGTGGGGAAGCGGAAGGTTCGGGGTGCTGGGGCTCCGGGTGCCCGCCCTGCCCCGTTGGGAAGCGGAAGGTTCGGGGTGCCGGGGCTCCGGGTGCCCGCTCCGCCCTGTGGGAAAGCGGAAGGTTCGGGGTGCCGGCGCTCCGGGTGCCCGCTCCGCCCTGTGGGGAAGCGGAAGGTTCGGGGTGCCGGGGCTCCGGGTGCCCGCTCCGCCCTGTGGGGAAGCGGAAGGTTCGGGGTGCCGGGGCTCCGGGTGCCCGCCCTGCCCCGTTGGGAAGCGGAAGGTTCGGGGTGCCGGGGCTCCGGGTGCCCGCCCTGCCCCGTTGGGAAGCGGAAGGTTCGGGGTGCCGGGGCTCCGGGTGCCCGCTCCGCCCTGTGGGAAAGCGGAAGGTTCGGGGTGCCGGCGCTCCGGGTGCCCGCTCCGCCCTGTGGGGAAGCGGAAGGTTCGGGGTGCCGGGGCTCCGGGTGCCCGCTCCGCCCTGTGGGGAAGCGGAAGGTTCGGGGTGCCCGCCCCGCTCCCGCTGCCATGGCGCGGCCGCCCCGCCGCGGCTGAGGGAGCCGCCATGGCCGCCGCGCTGCGGGCCGCGCTCTGCAGCGGGCTGCTGCTCCTCGGTGAGTCCGCCTGGGAGGGACGGAGCGAGCTCCCGGTGCCGCCTGGCCGCGGGCACGGAGGGCGGCGGTGCCCTCGGGGGGAGCGGCAGCGAGGGGCGCCTGAGGCGGCGGTGCCTCCGCGCTGCCCCGAGCCCGGCGCGGCTCCTCGGGGGCTGTGAGGGACCGGGCAGCCCGGGCAGTGCCCTGTAGGGACAGAGGGACAGCGGGGCCAGCCTGCCCGGCCACCGCGGGCGTTATTGGATCTGCTGGGAAACGGGGCCGGTCCTGCCGGGAGGGGGACGCTGCGAATCCCGGCGAAACCGCGGCCCGAGAGCCCCGTGTCACTGTCTGCAGAGGGGACAGCCGGGGAACAGGGACAGGAGCAGAGGGAACGGCCTCAGGCTGGGCCAGGGCAGGCTCAGCTTGGACAGCAGCAGCAATTTGCCCATGGCAAGGGAGCTCAGGCCTTGGCAGGGGCTGCCCAGGGAGCTTTGCAGTGCCCAGCCCTGCAGGTGTCCCCTGCAGGTGGCACTGAGTGCTCTGGGCTGGGGACAAGGTGCCCATGGGGCACAGCTGGCACTGCATGGGCTGGCAGGGCTGTGCACAAGCCTGAATGCCCAGAAATATTTCCTCGTCTCTTTGGATCCACAGTGCCCAATGAAGCAATTTACCTGGAGGCTGCTCAGGTAGGCAGCACTGTGAGGGAAGGGAGCCTGGCAAGGAAATGGGATTTTCCTGGGAATTTGCATGCCTGCCTCAGACCTCATCCTCAGAGCAGGGGCAGCGCTCCAGGAGAAATGAGAGGGACTTTGGACCAGGAGTGGAATGCCAGGATCATAAAGGGGAATGGCTGCCAGTGCCAGAGGGCAGGGCTGGATGGGATCTTGGCCATGAGGAATTGTTCCCTGGCAGGGTGGGCAGGCCCTGGCACAGGGTGCCCAGAGCAGCTGGGGCTGCCCCTGCATCCCTGGCAGTGCCCAAGGCCAGGCTGGGCACTGGGGACAGTGGGAGGTGTCCCTGCCATGGCACTGGGTGGGTCTGAGGTTCCTCCCAGCCCAAGCCAGTGTGTGATTTGAACTTCTGTATTTGTGATGTGCACTGTGATTTATTTATTTGTTGGGTGCAGGCGTAACCCTGTAGGACCAGAGTCTGAAACTGGTTTTGTTTAAGGCAGGTTCGGATTTCAAACTCTTGCCTGCCAGACGGGGGTGACTGACACAGGAATTTCATTCATTTGTGCATCAGCTGGGGACACAGCTCAGGGGTGATTATGGGCTGCTGGGGTGATACAGGGTGACCTTGAAGGTCTCTTTCAGCCCTGATTATTCTGTGAACCACACACCTGGAAAATGTGTTATTTATTTTAGAGTCTCTCATCAGGTGTGACTCCTGTGGCATTTAAGCACTGCTCTGTTCTGGCAGGGTTTGTTTGCATTGCTTATTTGTGGTGCAGTAATAGGCTGGAATCTTTGCTGTTTTGGTCTCAATACCTCCAATTATGTAAGAATAATTAAGTCATTTTCATTGATATTTACACTAGTTTAGGGTTTCTTTGATTCAATTCCAAGAAAGGAGAACAACTGGGGTTTTGTCACTTGTGAATAATGCTGGTTAGTGATACTTAATTACATTTAATTATATGTAATAGGTCTCTTGGCTTCAGAGGTGCTGAAGTTTGTCCATCCCCACGCCCTTGTTATTCCCACAGTGCTGCTGGAGCACTGCTTAGAAAAATTGGGGTTTGACAATCTCAGGGAGAGTTCATGCCCCAAGTGCTGGGCAGCACCAGCTCAGTCATGCACCAGAAATGTTGGTGTCACAAGCACTTACTGGAAATCACTGGTGCCAGTAATTTGTTTTGTTGCATAAGGAGGCAGGAGAGGCATCAGGATTTAAATTTAATTTATTTGGGCTCTGTTTTTAAATAAGCACCTAAGGCAAGGCAGAGGCTGCATTTAAATTTTGGATGAGTGACAAGTGCTGGAGCAAACACTGAAATGTTGGTTCTGATTCCTCCCACAGTTTCTGGAATGGTCCCAGAGCCCCAGAACGTGTGAGAATTACTTCAGTCAATCTGCACAGCACCTTGCAGTGGGGATGCACCACGGTTCCCCAGAGGAAACCTCACCTACACTGTGCAGTCCAAGAGGTGAGGCTGGGCTGGGCTGGGCTGCCCTTCACCCCCACCCCACAGCTCTGTGTGCTTGGGATCTGTGTCCTCTGCAGAGCACACTCTGTCCCTTTATCTCAGGGACGTGGCTGTCCCAGGAGCTGTCCCTTTATTTCAGCTTGTGAGAGGCTTCTCTGCTGAGCTGGAGCACAGGGCAGAGGCATTTCCTGGGCATTCACACCCAAGGCAGCTTTGTCCTGTTTGGTTTGGAACCACAACCACATTCTAACACTGGGTGTTATTGGCTCTTTGTGTGTGGTTCCTCTCTTCTGTGATTGAAGAGACCTGGGAGGTGTACTGAGTGTTTTGCCCTTCCCTGATCTCCCATCCCATCCCATCCCATCCCAGGGACACCTCCCAGTGTCCCCAGTGTCCAGCCTGGCCTTGGGCACTGCCAGGGATGCAGGGGCAGCCCCAGCTGCTCTGGGCACCCTGTGCCAGGGCCTGCCCACCCTGCCAGGGAACAATTCCTCATGGCCAAGATCCCATCCAGCCCTGCCCTCTGGCACTGGCAGCCATTCCTGGCTCCTGGACTCTCTGCCCATATAAAATTCTCCCTTTCCTTTAGATAGCCCCTCCAGGCACTGGCAGGAGCTCTCAGCCTTGCCCAGAGCCTTCTCTTCATGCTGAGTTGAGAGAAGATTTTTCTGGGTTCTGTAGCCATGGTCCCTTGATCAGTACGTTTCTGGGCAGGCTTTTGATGCAAAGCAGAAAGAATAAAATATATTAAATATCATCTATTAAATCATGTATTGATCAAGGCCAGTTGGACACTGGGGCCTGGAGCACCTGGGACAGTGGGAGGTGTCCCTGCCATGGCAGGGGTGGGCTCTGGGTGGGATTAGGGTCCCTCTAACCCACACCCTCTGTGGTTCTGTTCCATAAGCAGCTCCTGGTCCCTTCCCATCCCTGTTTTCCCTGGCTTTTCCTCGTGTGCAAATCCTGGGGACAGCTCTGAGAGGGTCCCAGTGGGACAGCACAGCCCTGCCCTGGCACTGGCTGGGTGATTGCTGGTTCTCTGAACTCTGCCTGCTGAATGCACTCCTAGGACCCTGCCAGGAAATGGGCATTTCTTGCAAAGTTAGAATGTTAATCCTTAAGTTTATAATTTAATCCTTAAGTTTATCATTAAGTTTATCATTAAGTTTATAATGGATTTACAGATGGGTGTAAAGTCCCTAACGCGAGTCTTACACACCCTGGGTACATTTTTATGTCCCCAAGTGCTAACTGCTTGCATTAACAGCTCTGCTGCTTAAAGCCGTTTAGCCAATTGTAATTACCCATCTCTTACATGTTGTTTCTGTTCCCTGCAGCATCTACTACCCTGGGGGACAGCTTTGAGACGCTGGGGACAGAGCTGAGGCTGCCCGGTGTGACGTGTCCTCGCTGTCACCCTACGGCAGCTACGCGCTGCGGCTGCGCGCCGAGGCAGGAGAGCTGCACTCCCCCTGGTCACCCTCCCCTTCAAGCCCATGGATGACAGTGAGCTTCCCTGTTCTTCCAAAAGCTCTGCCTGCTCTGGGAGGGAGCTCGAGGATAGCGAGTTGTTTTATCATTTCATCACCTTGTGCCACTTCTTGGCTGCTGTTTTGTACCTCTGCCGAGGGCGGGGACTGAAGGCACTCGAGATGGTGTTTCAGGCTTAGGTGGTTTTTTTACTTATCTGTGTTACAGTCTCACAGCAGTGAGTTCTGCAGTATTTCACTAGTAAGGTACAAGATGGCTCACTGTCTTTCTCTACAAGGCCTTTTAGGGCTAAACTACCCAATTAGGAAATGACACTGAAATTATTTTCACTTTTAACCCAATAACTGATCACTCAAAGTCCACAATGCAGACTTTTCTGTCCAATGACACAAAACCACCCAAACCCATGGAGAAGAAGGAGAAGGAGAAGGAGCAGCCTCACCCTAAACCCTCCATCTTGCTTTCTATCTATTCCTGTATTCTTAAACCCCTAAACTCTGAGTTTCCCACCCTGTGATATCACACACTTCCATTCAAACTCCACCCCCACAATCCCAGTTCTGCCATTCCATTCTGGAAGCTTCTCCAGGCCCTCAGGTCAGTGCAGTGTTCTCTGGGGGTCAGTGCCTGGCAGCACAGAAAGTCTGGAATTCCAGCACCCAGAAAGTCTGGAATTCTCAGCAGCCAGGGTTCCAACAACACTGAACTATAAAATCTTATTTGTAACACTGGCAGAAAGCAGAGTAAGTTCACTGTCATTGATCACCTCTTTGGAGGAGATTTTCAAACAAAGCATCATTTTTCTTTTAAATAAGGAACATTTCTATTTTCTGTTTTATCACTAATTACATAACTAAATACATTTAAGTACATTGAACTGTAATTAAATACATTTAACTACATTGACCTGTAAAATCTTAGTTGTGACACTGGCAGAAAGCAAAGTTCACTGTCATAGTATTGATCACCTCTTTGGAGGAGATTTTCAACAAAGCATCATTTCTCTTAAAATAAGGCACAATTCTATTTTCTATTTCATCATTAATTACATAATTAAATACATTTAATTACATTGAACTGTAAAATCTTAGTTGCAACACTACCAGAAAGCAGAGTAGGTTCACTGTCATAGTATTGATCACCTCTTTGGAGGAGATTTTCAACAAAGCATCATTTTCTCTTAAAATAAGGAACATTTCTATTTTCTATGTTATAATTTAATTGCATTTTATCATTAATTGCATAGTTAAATACATTTCATTACCTTGAACTATAAAATCTTAGTTGTAACACTGGCAGAAAGCAAAGTTCACTGTCATAGTATTGATCACCTCTTTGGAGGAGATTTTCAAACAAAGCATATATTTATTTTAAAATAAGCCACATTTCTATTTTCCAGACAGGGAGAAGTTGT